TAGGGTAGAGTAGGGTAGGGTAGGGTAGGGTAGAGTAGAGTAGAGTAGAGTAGAGTAGAGTAGAGTAGAGAAGGGTAGGGTAGAGAAGAGTAGAGTAGAGTAGAGTAGAGTAGAGTAGAGTAGAGTAGAGTAGAGTAGAGTAGAGTAGAGCAGGGTAGAGTAGAGTAGAGTAGAGTAGGGTAGGGTAGGGTAGAGTAGGGTAGAGTAGGGTAGGGTAGAGTAGAGTAGAGTAGAGTAGGGTAGAGTAGAGTAGAGTAGAGTAGAGTAGAGTAGAGTAGAGCAGGGTAGAGTAGAGTAGAGTAGGGTAGGGTAGGGTAGGGTAGAGTAGGGTAGGGTAGGGTAGAGTAGAGTAGGGTAGGGTAGGGTAGGGTAGGGTAGAGTAGAGTAGAGTAGAGTAGGGTAGAGTAGGGTAGGGTAGGGTAGGGGAGTAGAGTAGAGTAGAGTAGGGTAGGGTAGGGTAGAGTAGAGTAGAGTAGAGTAGGGTAGAGTAGAGTAGAGTAGAGTAGAGTAGAGTAGAGTAGAGCAGGGTAGAGTAGAGTAGAGTAGAGTAGAGTAGGGTAGGGTAGGGTAGGGTAGGGTAGGGTAGGGTAGAGTAGGGTAGAGTAGAGTGGGTTAGGGTAGGGTAGGGTAGGGTAGAGTAGAGTAGGGTAGAGAAGAGTAGGGTAGAGTAGAAGACTAGAGCAGAGCAGAGATCAATCTCACACTGCAGAAATGTACATGTCACATTTGGCACAGATAAAATCACAGATTGTGCAGAAGTGTGAAACATGTTAAAGGTTAAAAATATAGTCTGTTCAGGACATATTATGTGCAATAAAAAGAGTGGCAACAGCAGTGCAGGTTTTTCAGTCCTAGTGCATTAGTGACTTATTAGAGTAGAGATATATACAATACTGTGGTGGCATCAGCCTCTTGTACAGCGTGGTCTGAATCACAGAGAGGGACAGGAAGAAGCTGGAACAGGTCATCAGGAAGACCCGCTCTGACCTGAACACAGTGCAGCCATGGATCTATTATAATAACTGGATAGGGGGAGCAGAAGAACTACCGTATGTGTTCGGGGGATTCTCGCGGTAATTCAATTCACGTGGGCTACCCAGAAATTTTCCCCATAGAACTCAATGTAAACTAAAATAGCTCAACCTCAGCTGACAGAGAACCTGACAGAGAACCTGCAGCTTTCATAAAGGTCGGATTTGTGGGGATTTTAGTGTCCCTTGTCATCCTGAACTTTTGTTCTTCTTAAATCCTTCGGTTTTCTTTAAATCCACACTTTACTGCCACAAACGAGCATCTATGTGGACCATGACTGTCGTCCCCTGTAGGACACTCTGAAGAGTAGCTTCAGTGACAGACGGATCCACCCTCGCTAAAATAAAATACCAACATCTGCCTTCTGCCATCTGACTACAGTGCACAGAGTGTACTGTGGGATCATTGCTCTAGAACAGCCATTCCCAAACTCAGTAACACCGAGGCCCCCTTAAAAATCTGTCGGGTCTGTGTGGCCCCCCCAAAATAATAACCAAGAAGACAACATTAAGAATAGGCTCTTCTGGTTATTTTATTTTGGGGAAATAGCCTCTGCTACAAACATTGTAATACAAAAATGATTACAGTGGATTATTCAAGTCAAATAATGAACACAAATATTTTAATATTACAAACAAAACATTATAAATTTAACATTAAATAATTATATTATTTTTTTATTTTTTTTATGACCTCCCGCGGCCCCCCTGCAGTACCCTCGCGGCCCACCAGGGGTCCGCGGACCCCACTTTGGGAGACACTGCTCTAGAATGTATGTTTTTAATTTATTCTCTTAAAGATGTAGTTTAATGTGTGCGTATCCTGAGAGCTCTTATTTTACCTTTTATTCTTCTGTAATGTCTTTCACTGAAGGAAATGTGTCTTGTACTTCCTTCAATCCAATAGTTACAGGAGAGGTGATGTATTCTGCAGTCTTTGTCTCCATCTGGTGGCCGGAGGTTTTACTGCAGCTTTCATTTCTAATGACAGACATCTGACACATTTTAAATCTGCAAAAGTATGATTAATAATTCTATCTTTGTAAGAAAGCAGAATGTACCACTTCAGACAATTAGAGACTGAGTTTTCAAGGCTGTCGCTGGGAAACACAGACTTTAAACTTCCATCCATCCATCCATTTTCTACCCTTTAATCCATTTCTGGGTCAGGGGGGTGGCAGTCAGAGATGCCACCCAAGTCTCATAGCACCAGCCCCTCACTGACCCTCTGCAGGTGGTGAGTCCACAGGAGGACGGCTGCTCTCTGAGTGTGAGCATAGCCTTGATCTTTCAGTGGGGGCTTTGGGCAAAGTGGGGTTAAGTGTCTTGCCCAAGGACACAACGACAGCAGTCATCAGTGGGAGTCGGTGGAGAAGGTGCAGAGGTGGGAAATGAACCCACAACCATCTGGCCTTAAGGCCAATGCTCTACCAACTGAGCTACTGTCGACTTTAAACTTCCTTCACATATTTTCTATTGGCTTGAGTCGAGACTGAGGCTGCTCCAGGACTTGCAGTTTGAGATCATTGTCGTCCTGAAGATCATCAAAGTTTCATCGAGACTGTCTGCGATGGAAGAAGATTATTTGCTCAAAATCTCACGAAAAATGCCCCCATTCATCCTTTTCCTAATACAAATCAGTCTTCCTGTTCGCTTTGCAGAAATCCAGCCCCAAACCATCATGTTACCACCCCCAGGCTTTGACTATCCATACCACTTCATGTGTAACTGTAGTTTTTAATCCAATTCCTCTGGTCCTGGCTGCACTGCACTTATTTTCAAAGTTGGAAGATTGTTTTGACATGTTCCCATCTTCCTTGCGGTAAAAAATAGCCGGCCCTGCGTCATTTAGACCCTCGGTTATCAACCCAAAAGAACCATGAGTCAGAGCGAAGGATAGTGTGAGATGTACTTATTTGCATCCATGTAAATTAGTGTGTGTGTGTGTGTACATTCTAACCCACCAGCTTAATGAATCCCAATAAAGAGGTACTCGTGGACAAGTTGTGTTAATTGACATACATGTAAAAGTTTAATGATTGATGTAAATGATTCTGGTGTTGAAACTCATGAATAGCTCATATCTTAACTTATAAATACAATAAGAATCGACTAATCAGATGCCTTCATTCACAGGGGAAACTCCAGAGTGCCTTAGCAACACCTCCGAACAGTCCGTATAAGGACATTGGCTCCAGCTAGCTTGTCTGGCTTCTTATGCATTTAGGACTGGTGACATCACTCCTCGTCATAAAGATTCAAAGACTCCACTCTCGTCACATTTACCATTTTATTAGAAAAAAAAGACAGCAAACTTTCCTCGTAACCATTTCTGAATATAATCACACATTGAAAATTAACACCGCCTCCATCTCCCGCTCTCATGAAGGCCACGCCACAAACCAGGACCTCCACCGAGTCCTGGGAATCCTCCTCCATTATGAGACACTACTATACAGTTTGTACACTTTGATATTTGAACTTGAATATTGACAAAAATCTGCCACAAGAAACGAGAAAACATGAATAAAAATGCTTGAATTGGGAGAACAGCGACATCTGTATGAATATATTATGGCAGCGATGAGGGATCAGCAGAACTAGTCAAAACCTCTCGATTCAAGCATTTAAACTTATATTTTAGCATTAATTGCAGAGGTTTAGAGCATTCAGATTAACAACAGATAATGAGCTCAGTGGTAACGTTATTGCTAACACTGCAGATACTATAGACTTCTTTCAATATGATTTTGTGTTGCTAAAAGAAAAATCTCGAGGAAATGGTGCTCTATGGGCACTTTCACACTGCTCTAACTGGTTCACTATTTGTGGTAGAGAATTGTATGTTCCTGTATGTACTGCACAGAATTATAAATGTATTCTGTATGTATAGTATTGTATTGTATTACTTTGTGTAGAATGGGTCAAACCTGAAACTGAAAATATAGGGACATTTTCTGCAGGTTTGAAATACATTTAGCAAACTTCAGAAGCAAACGTAGGTCAAAAATCGGTCTCAAAACAAGCCGTCTGTCTGACGAGACTGGTGGACTGGGTTCCGTTTGACATTTTTCACAGGTACGCAAAAATGAAGCAAAACAAGCCCCAAAGTGAAGCAGATTTTGAGTCAAATGGACCAAATGTGATCGCAAGCTTGCGCTGAGAAACTGGACTTTAGAACTGCTACACTGCAAAAACGTGTCCCTGTGGGTATATATAATTATGTAAGCTTTACTTCGAGATTTTGACAAGAAAAAAAAAAACAATGATAGTTGCTTTTATAACAATTAAAGCTGGGGTACTTAACTTTCAAACCACTAATATTGAGCCACGAACTAGCTACATGGCTAGTTATGCTAATGTCCTTGTGCATGCATTTTTGGAAACTTTTTTACTTTCCCGTTTTAAAAAGTTGACGTAAACTTGTGACAGAGACCACCACCCTCACTCCAGCCAATCATCTCTCAGCCCAAAGAGTCAAATAGTGACTCACAGGGATCTTCATTTCAAGTATGCAAAAGATTTTTATGAGATTTCTTGGCAACATTTTACTTTTACAAGCTGCTTTCTGTTGACACAAACCAAATGTAATTATGAATGAAAGTTACACACCCCCGCTTTAAAGCAGACTAGCCTCTTGTTTACAATTAGCGTTAGCATGAAACCAGGAAGTGCCATGTTTTTTCCATTGCGTCTGCCACAAGAATATGTAGATTTTTGTATAATCTAATTTCTTGTGTATCAAAGTTTATGAATAATAAAATTAAATACGACACACATGATGAGGCGACAGACAAACTGGAGGAAATAATGTAAAAATGAACGATTAAATTAGACGCCGTGACGGGAGCAGACGGTTGATTGGCTCAGTCTCTTGTGTTTGAGGATCACATGGCTCTTCAGGCCACGCCCCCACCCCCTCCCAGTCCTGTCGTCGTGGAAACTGCCAGACTCAAAAGTGCAATAGTTTTACTGCTGGCCTTCCTTCTTCTCTCCTTCTGTCGAGCCGCTGCTGCCGCCACTGCTGCCGTCGCGCTCTGCCGCCATCTGGTGGACGAACAAGGTCAGAGTCAGACCAAGGGCAAAACATACCATTTTTGAACAACTTTGTGCCGTGTCTGCGATTTAGTAGAGGTGGGAATTATCAAAAATGTGTGAGGATTCGATAGTATTGGGATAATTTGGCAGACGGAAGTGTGCGATTCGATTCTGCGATGTATTGCGATTTATGTCCCTCATATAATTCAAAGGCGTTAAAATAAGACTTCACTCACATTTATTATGGTCTGGACATGAACTGAAGCCAACACCGTGGGTAGTGCAAAAACATCCTTACCACTCTTTTATTGCCACTTTTTCATTTTACATAAATTATATCCTGCACAGACTATATTTTTAACCTTTAACATGTTTGCACACTTCTGTCTTTTGCACAATCAGTGATTCCATCTATCATTTATCTGGTGTGAGATCAATAAAGTCTATCTTATCTTAAAAATTAGACCTCATAGAGTCACAAAACAAGCAGACATAGAGTCACATCCACCCAGACCCAGGGAGACACATGGAAACTCCACAGATAAATGCCCGGCAGGGGATCGAACCTGCGACCTTCTCCCTGTCCGGGCCTATATATGCTAGGCTAATCTTGTCCATCAACTTCTAATATGAAAGTACACAAGCTAATTTCTCTGATGTCATTTTGAATCAATCCAAATCAAATATGTGTAATCTTTTATTGTAACCTGCTGCTGAGGCCTGACTCACTGTGTGTTTGTTCTGCTATTCGGGATCAATAAAGTTTTCTGAATTTGAATAGTAATGTGATGTTATGTATTTGTGGTGTGTGTGTGTGTAGGGCGTACCTTCTTGTAGGCCATCTCGAACAGCTTGAGCGAGGCCTGCTGCAGGTTGGACGCTGCCTGTTTGATGTTCTCTCCGGTCTCTGAGTCTTTGTTGGTCAGAAGGTCTCGCACTTTGGTCATCTCCTCCTTCAGCTTAGCACACTGCAGAGAGACAAGAGGAGGTTAGAGGAGGCGGGACAGGAGAGACAAGAGGAGGTTAGAGGAGGCGGGACAGGAGAGACAAGAGGAGGTTAGAGGAGGCGGGACAGGAGAGACAAGAGGAGGTTAGAGGAGGCGGGACGGGAGGAGAGACAAGAGGAGGTTAGAGGAGGCGGGACAGGAGAGACAAGAGGAGGTTAGAGGAGGCGGGACAGGAGAGACAAGAGGAGGTTAGAGGAGGCGGGACAGGAGAGACAAGAGGAGGTTAGAGGAGGCGGGACAGGAGAGACAAGAGGAGGTTAGAGGAGGCGGGACAGGAGAGACAAGAGGAGGTTAGAGGAGGCGGGACAGGAGAGACAAGAGGAGGTTAGAGGAGGCGGGACAGGAGAGACAAGAGGAGGTTAGAGGAGGCGGGACAGGAGAGACAAGAGGAGGTTAGAGGAGGCGGGACAGGAGAGACAAGAGGAGGTTAGAGGAGGCGGGACAGGAGAGACAAGAGGAGGTTAGAGGAGGCGGGACAGGAGAGACAAGAGGAGGTTAGAGGAGGCGGGACAGGAGAGACAAGAGGAGGTTAGAGGAGGCGGGACAGGAGAGACAAGAGGAGGTTAGAGGAGGCGGGACAGGAGAGACAAGAGGAGGTTAGAGGAGGCGGGACAGGAGAGACAAGAGGAGGTTAGAGGAGGCGGGACAGGAGAGACAAGAGGAGGTTAGAGGAGGCGGGACAGGAGAGACAAGAGGAGGTTAGAGGAGGCGGGACAGGAGAGACAAGAGGAGGTTAGAGGAGGCGGGACAGGAGAGACAAGAGGAGGTTAGAGGAGGCGGGACAGGAGAGACAAGAGGAGGTTAGAGGAGGCGGGACAGGAGAGACAAGAGGAGGTTAGAGGAGGCGGGACAGGAGAGACAAGAGGAGGTTAGGTTAGAGGAGGCGGGACAGGAGAGACAAGAGGAGGTTAGAGGAGGCGGGACAGGAGAGACAAGAGGAGGTTAGAGGAGGCGGGACAGGAGAGACAAGAGGAGGTTAGAGGAGGCGGGACAGGAGAGACAAGAGGAGGTTAGAGGAGGCGGGACAGGAGAGACAAGAGGAGGTTAGAGGAGGCGGGACAGGAGAGACAAGAGGAGGTTAGAGGAGGCGGGACAGGAGAGACAAGAGGAAGGTTAGAGGAGGCGGGGACAGGAGAGACAAGAGGAGGTTAGAGGAGGCGGGACAGGAGAGACAAGAGGAGGTTAGAGGAGGCGGGACAGGAGAGACAGACAAGAGGAGGTTAGAGGAGGCGGGACAGGAGAGACGAGAACAAGAGGAGGTTAGAGGAGGCGGGACAGGAGAGACAAGAGGAGGTTAGAGGAGGCGGGACAGGAGAGACAAGAGGAAGGTTAGAGGAGGCGGGACAGGAGAGACAAGAGGAGGTTAGAGGAGGCGGGACAGGAGAGACAAGAGGAGGTTAGAGGAGGCGGGACAGGAGAGACAAGAGGAAGGTTAGAGGAGGCGGGACAGGAGAGACAAGAGGAGGTTAGAGGAGGCGGGACAGGAGAGACAAGAGGAGGTTAGAGGAGGCGGGACAGGAGAGACAAGAGGTGGTTAGAGGAGGCGGGACAGGAGAGACAAGAGGAAGGTTAGAGGAGGCGGGACAGGAGAGACAAGAGGAGGTTAGAGGAGGCGGGACAGGAGAGACAAGAGGAGGTTAGAGGAGGCGGGACAGGAGAGACAAGAGGAAGGTTAGAGGAGGCGGGACAGGAGAGACAAGAGGAGGTTAGAGGAGGCGGGACAGGAGAGACAAGAGGAGGTTAGAGGAGGCGGGACAGGAGAAACAAGAGGAGGTTAGAGGAGGCGGGACAGGAGAGACAAGAGGAGGTTAGAGGAGGCGGGACAGGAGAGACAAGAGGAGGTTAGAGGAGGCGGGACAGGAGAGACAAGAGGAGGTTAGAGGAGGCGGGACAGGAGAGACAAGAGGAGGTTAGAGGAGGCGGGACAGGAGAGACAAGAGGAGGTTAGAGGAGGCGGGACAGGAGAGACAAGAGGAGGTTAGAGGAGGCGGGACAGGAGAGACAAGAGGAGGTTAGAGGAGGCGGGACAGGAGAGACAAGAGGAAGGTTAGAGGAGGCGGGACAGGAGAGACAAGAGGAGGTTAGAGGAGGCGGGACAGGAGAGACAAGAGGAGGTTAGAGGAGGCGGGACAGGAGAGACAAGAGGAGGTTAGAGGAGGCGGGACAGGAGAGACAAGAGGAGGTTAGAGGAGGCGGGACAGGAGAGACAAGAGGAGGTTAGAGGAGGCGGGACAGGAGAGACAAGAGGAGGTTAGAGGAGGCGGGACAGGAGAGACAAGAGGAGGTTAGAGGAGGCGGGACAGGAGAGACAAGAGGAGGTTAGAGGAGGCGGGACAGGAGAGACAAGAGGAGGTTAGAGGAGGCGGGACAGGAGAGACAAGAGGAGGTTAGAGGAGGCGGGACAGGAGAGACAAGAGGAGGTTAGAGGAGGCGGGACAGGAGAGACAAGAGGAAGGTTAGAGGAGGCGGGACAGGAGAGACAAGAGGAGGTTCCCTCAGGAGGAATAGTTTTAGCTCCATCCAAACTAATATTATTGCACCATCTTAGATTCTCAAAGCATTTCCACTTCTACCACTAGATGGAGCAAGACATTTTCAGGATGTGTAAAACATTTCAACCAAGTCAACCTAATACGTTTTTACTGTATAGAATGCATTAATTGTGTTCCTTTCTCACAAGAGAGATCAAAATGGCTTTTTATATTGGTGAATCTCCAGGTCTCTACGATGAGAAAATACTTGTGTTGAGATAAAACTATTGTGGTAGAATATTAATGCTAGCTTCAGGTTTCAGATCAGGCTGCACTGAATACATTGATCTTCATTATTGTGAGTAATGTTTGAACCTCGTCCGCAGGGAGCTGGTCTTTGAACTCCTCCATCTTTGACTCCGTGTCGTGGATGATGCCCTCGGCCATGTTCACCGCCTCCACTCGGTCCTGCACACAGAACACACACACAATTTACACTCTACACTACACAACACAAAACTAAAAGTACAGGTGCAGAAGGAGATAGGTAAAACTAGGGTTAGCCAAACTAGCTATAAATGTTGTATAGTTTCACAGGTTGATAAATCGGTAATTAAAGAGGGACAGGGCTTGTGTGTCCATACCTTTCGTCTGCGGTCCTCCTCTGCGTATTTCTCTGCGTTCTTGACCATGTTCTCGATGTCGTCTTTGCTCAAACCTCCGGAAGACTGGATCACAACTGCACAAAACCACAAACGAGGTCAGGAGGAGAAACCCGGGACTTACAGCTGCGAGTTTTACCGTCCTAACAATCACAGCTCAAAAGTGCAAAATTATACCTACACGATTACAGTCAGCTCATTATATATATGTGATATTTACAATTTTAAAACATTAAATTGAATGACATAGAAGGAATAATACCATTAATTACATTGTTTTAACATTGGGATTTCACAGACAAACGTATTCATCCAGTGATAGATGCTAAATAAGCTAGCATGTGAAATGTGGGATGTTTTGGAGGGAGAGGGTATTTTCAAATCGTTTAATTCTTTTGAATGTGGAATATTTCCAAAATTCCCCAGCTTAACTTCCCATGGACATGACTGTGTGTGCGTCTCTCAGTCTTTCTTTGGGTTATATGCGTGTTGCGTTACGGGTCTCACTCTACTGCCCTCCTCCTGTGCCCTTGTCCTTTGTCTCTGTGTGTGTGTTGTTCATGTTGAGTTGTGTATGTGTTGCATCTCTCTGTGTTGTGTCGCGCGTCTCACTCTGCTGCTCTCGTCCCGTCCCCTTGTCCTTCGCCGACACGTGCACGATGCCGTTGGCGTCGATGTCGAAGGTGACCTCGATCTGGGGCACTCCGCGGGGGGCCGGGGGTAGTCCCACGAGAGTGAACTGTCCCAGGACCTTGTTGTCCGCCGCCATCTCCCTCTCGCCCTGACACACCTTTATCTCCACCTGCGTCTGTCCGTCTGCGGCCGTGGAGAACACCTACACACACAAACACGCACACATGTGTTTTCAGACAGAAGTGAAATAACCAAGTTCACTCAGTCGTGTAAAATATGTTGGGCCGAAGAAAATTATTTGCATTTTCCCCGTTTGGTCTGTTGAATTCTCTCATCTGTGTTGGCGAATCATCAACTTTGTATGGTCCTCCAAGATCATTCCTATTGTGATTTAGGGCTATACAAGAATAAACTTTTCTCATATTTCTCCTCAAATTGCCTCAACACACTTTTTCCTCCACAATACGACTCTTTCTGTTTCTCAAGCTCTTTGTCCCTTTCGCTCTCTCTCGGCCTCTACCGTCACATTCACACATGTTTCGTGCGGTGAGCTGGGGTCTGGTACCTGGCCCTTCTTGGTGGGGATGGTGGTGTTGCGGTTGATGAGTTTGGTGAAGACTCCTCCCAGGGTCTCGATGCCCAGAGACAGAGGCGTGACGTCCAGCAGGAGCACGTCCGTCACGTCTCCGGCCAGAACTCCTCCCTGGATGGCGGCTCCGATGGCCACCGCCTCGTCCGGGTTTACGGAGCGGCTGGGGGCCCGGCCGAACAGGTCCTGCACCGTCTGCTGGACCTGAGGAGAGAGAGGGAGTACAGGATATTTGATGAGGAGGGTCTTAAGGCGCGTTCAGACCAAAAGCTTCAAAAAGCTTTTGACGCGCTTCAACTGACGCCGGGATAGTTTTGTCATTTTGGTGCTTGAAGCTTTTGACGCGAGTGACGCGCCTGACGCCGGTGGGAGGAGCTTCTCTGTTGCCTGTAGTCAGGACAGCGGTGGATTTTTCAATGAGCAGCGAGCCTTTATTTGTTATTTAAAGCAAAATAACGTTGTTGTAGGGCTTCCACAAAACATGTTCTGGGTTCACCACAGACTTGAGAGGCTGCAGTGTTTGCAGAGTTCCGTCATTTACTCCAGGAGCTGCGTACGGAGGAGTTTCGCTTTCAGCGGTACTTCCGCATGTCACTTGCCCAGTCTGAGTTCTCAAACCCCGGCTCTCCCCTCTCCCTGCCTCTCCCCGGCTCTCGCTCGCCTCTCCCCTCTCCCTGCCTCTCCCCGGCTCTCGCTCGCCTCTCCCTGCCTCTCGCTCGCCTCTCCCCTGCCTCTCGCTCGCCTCTCCCCTGCCTCTCGCTCGCCTCTCCCCTGCCTCTCGCTCGCCTCTCCCCTGCCTCTCGCTCGCCTCTCCCCTGCCTCTCGCTCGCCTCTCCCTGCCTCTCGCTCGCCTCTCCCTGCCTCTCGCTCGCCTCTCCCTGCCTCTCGCTCGCCTCTCCACGGCTCTCGCTCGCCTCTCCCCGGCTCTCGCCCGCCCGGAGCTGCCTTGCTCTGAGCCAGACCCATCGTCAGCCTGTTCTTATTTTAAATAAACTACGTTTACTACACAGCATGTGTACAATGATTTTTGTTACTCAGAATGTTACTACTCATACAAATAATATTACTAATAACAATAATGACAATAAAACAGCAGCAGATACATGACTTCTCTTCATGACAGAGACAGACCCTCTGCTGCTGCTGCTCCTCGTCTCCTGATTGGTTGAAGCCCGCGTCAAAGCTTCAAAAGCTCAGCTTTGCTCAGCTTCGGCGTCAAAGGGATTGTTGTGATACGCGAGCGTTTCGCGCGTCAAAAGCTTCAAGTGAGCGCGTAGTACGCGCGACTCTTGAAGCTTTTGACGCGCGTCAAGTGACGCCGGGCCCCTCGGCTTCACCTGACGCGCTTCACCATTCACTTTCAATGGAAACCTGACGCTTTTGACGCCGAAGTTAAGTCCGGTGTGAACGCCCCTTAAGGACAGTGGTGATGATCCAGGACAATTACAGACGTAGTTTAAAACACAACCATAGCATTTCAGATTCTTCCTGCTTCTCACTTTCCTGCTGTAATTGTTACTATTGATTATTCTGCTCATCTTCTCCGCTGCTTAAGTACAATATATTCCATTCTCTCCCGTGATCTTAAATAATAGACTGATGCGTGCAATCTGAGAACTTTAATTTCCTTCTTTCTCTGCTGTAATGTGCAACGATGACACTGAAGTTTCCCCACTGTGGGACGAATAAAGGAAATCTTAAAGGAATAGTTCACCGTTTGTACATACTGACATATGTTCTTACCTTACCTTAGACTAGTTAATACGTACCTGTCTGGTCTTAGTCCGTGCGCTCTGTCATGCAAACGGAGCAAAAACTGGAGCACAACCGCAGCCTCCTCTGTATATTTTGTAGCACCAAAAGGTAGCTCCCGCTAGAAGCTACCAAACTCTTCCAAGTGTTCCCTATTAAATGTATATAGTTACGTGACGTGTTACACTGCATAGTATAGTAACACAGAAATGTAACAGTCGATTTTCTCAGCGGATAAAACGGGTACTATATTGTGAGGCGTAGTAATCTGAGGTGCGCTACGTCCGCGCACTAACTTCTCTCCGGAGACTTCTCTCTCGCTCACTTCCGTCAATAGAAGCAGCGTGACTTGTAGTACACACAGTAGCAGCGAGAGAGAAGTCTCCGGAGAGAAGTTAGTGCGCAGAGAAGTTAGGAGCGCTACGTCCGCGCACTAACTTCTCTCCAGAGACTTCTCTCTCGCTGCTACTGTGTGTACTACAAGTCACGCTGCTTCTATTGACGGAAGTGAGCGAGAGAGAAGTCTCCGGAGAGAAGTTAGTGCGCGGACGTAGCGCACCTCAGATTACAACGCCTCACAATATAGTACCCGTTTTATCCGCTGAGAAAATCGACTGTTACATTTCTGTGTTACTATACTTTGCAGTGTAACACGTCACGTAACTATATACATTTAATAGGGAACACTTGGAAGAGTTTGGTAGCTTCTAGCGGGAGCTACCTTTTGGTGCTACAAAATATACAGAGGAGGCTGCGGTTGTGCTCCAGTTTTTGCTCCGTTTGCATGACAGAGCGCACGGACTAAGACCAGACAGGTACGTATTAACTAGTCTAAGGTAAGGTAAGAACATATGTCAGTATGTACAAACGGTGAACTATTCCTTTAAGTCTCTATCCTGACCATGCTCAAAACTAGCTAAGTAAGTAATCATTTATATAGCGCCTTTCACAGACCAGAGTCACAAAGCGCTTTACAATTGTGGGCATCTGTCTCTCAGTCCTCACAGAGATGGGAGCGAGGAGGCCATACAGGAGGCACATGCCAGACCTGTTGTACATGTTTTTAGTGCTAGGGGAAACCGGAGCACCTGCAGGAAACCTACACAGACACGGGTTGACGACATCTGTTTGGAAATGCATACAACCGATTTAATTTTGTACAATTAATCTTGTATTTCTCTTTTTAATCCAATCCTTGTGCTATCCTTGGGTCAAACTGAGCTGCAACAGTGATTAAAAAGGATGAAGTTTTTTGTCTACTTTTAATCACTGTGTGGGCAGGTCTTTCTGAGGATAGCACAAGGATTCACATTTTAATAAGAGTTTCAAGGCCAATGCTTTTCATGCTACTTTGTTTTACTGAATTAATGAATATTTAAATTTCCTTGTGCTGTCCTCGAGTAAAATTAACCAACCACAGTGATAAAAATATTGGAGCCGATTTTTGATTATTACTTTTTTGAGCGAGTGTCACTTTGTGCTGGAACAAAGCAGTCTTGCAAACGTGAGCTGTACCTTGGGCATCCGCGACATGCCTCCGACCAGCAGCACCTCCCCGATGTCGCCCTTGGAGACCTCTGCGTCCTGCATGGCCTTCTGACACGGGGCCACGGTGCGACGGATCAGGTCGGACACGATGCCCTCGAACTGAGAGCGCGTCAGCTTCATGTTCAAGTGTTTGGGGCCCGACGCGTCCATGGTGAGGTAGGGCAGGTTGATGTCCGTCTGGGAACACAGGGAAAGGCAACACGTATGACAAATTGACTGGAGTGAGGCAGTAACGGATGAAAATACATTTGATTTATACTGCATCTTACATCTAGACAAAACCTCAAAAGTGCTACACATAAATTATCACTGCATTATTTTGTTTAACTTTACATAGACTTATAAAGGTTTGGTGATTCAGATACGGTAATTTCTGGACTATAAGCAGCTACTTTTTTCCAGTTTTTTGGCCCCTGTGACTTGAATAGCAAAGTGGCTCTTTTGAGGATTGGGCTCTCAAACCATTCACAGTAAGAATGTGTTATGTATTGTATCTCAAGTATAAAAAGCGTATTATCAAAAAAAAAAAAAAAATCCTTCCGAGACCAATATCGGACTCTAAATGTGTTGATCTTGTCCCACAGAAAAAAAAACTGTCTCTTTTGGTCAAAATCTATAAAAGAAGTTTATAGATTTATTATTTTGAATCCATCAAGCTTTTAGTAGCCATTGTCAATCACAGGGGTGGGAATTTATACAATTTTTCAATCATTTGCCCTACAATCTTTGACAAAAATGATGAAAAATAAGTCAAAAATTGCTGACATTTGGCAAAAATGATCTGGTTTTTAAAAAGTTACAAGAAATGTCTCCCTTGGAATGAGAAAATAAAGCAACAGTTCAATGAAATAAGACTAAATGTCGTTGTCCCCTTGGAGAATCTTGTTTTAACACAGTCGGAATGTGCTCAGATTAATTTATGGTTTCTTGCAGAGATACAAATAATCTTTTCTTAGACATAGACCAAGTTTAGATGGAGCTGGTAGAGAAGTGTTACCGACCTGCAGAGAGGAGGACAGCTCACACTTGGCCTTCTCCGCCGCCTCCCTGACCCTCTGCAGCGCCATGTTGTCCTTCAGCAGGTCCACGCCAGTCTGCACACGCCAACAACAGCGTTAGAAAACACAGAGGAAAGAAATGTGTTTGAAAACGTTTTATACCGCTCCACACGGATAATTAACTTGCTGAAGTCCATTACAATGAGGTTCCCTGACTTTATTATGTTGCGTTAGTATCAGCTTCCATATCCCTGCACCCTACACCCCACAAACCAGTATCTTTAACTAGTTTTATGCAACAAGGATCGTTTCTCACTCCTAGATAAAAGCAGCAGCATCTTAACAAATAAATTGTTGGATTTTCATTTGACTTTTGATGCCCCTACAAAAAAAAAAAAGACTAAAGAAACGAGTGTTGGTAGAGAATAAAAAAAAAAGGATGGATTGAAATTATAACCACAAGTTAAAAAGGCAAAGCTAACAGCGAAGCTAACAGCGAAGCTAACAGCGAAGCTAACTGGTAGTTGCAGTGGTCCATTAGCTTTAGCATGATCCCAGGAGTTTGTTTTTGGAGTCATTACCATAGACTGTATACACACAGACAGACATACAGACACATTTTGGGTCATATAAAGCCTTTCTGACGCTCACCTCTCTCTTGAACTCTTTGACGATGTGGCGGAGCAGGTGCTGGTCGAAGTCCTCTCCTCCCAGGAACGTGTCTCCGTTGGTGGACTTCACCTCGAACACTCCCTTCTGGATCTCCAGGATGGAAATGTCAAAGGTGCCGCCGCCCAAGTCGTAGACCGCGATGCTGCGAGAGAGAGAGAGAGAGAGAGAGAGAGAAAACCTTTAGTGGATTCTTTGACAGACCCTAATCCTTCGCAATTAGCTTTGTATCATATGCAAGTATCAAGAACAGGGGTCTCCAACATGTGGCTCGGGAACTACCAGTAGCTCGCTGGCTCTTTTCAGGTAGCTCCCCAAAAGATTTAGAATTCAAGTTTGAGTCAGTAAACATCTTTTGTAACTATAAATGGTTCGTATTATAGTATATTCCACGTGTTCTCCAGGTTTTGTCATTATTATAAAACATACATTTTTATGACGACTGCCAAACTGAGTAGCTCTCTGGCTCTTGTATTGTATAAAAGTCGCTCTCTGGTCGAAAAAGGTTGGAGACCCCTGATCTAGAATCTGTTAAAAAATCAAATATGTTATACTTTCATTTACTCAGAGAACCGACATTTTTACCGTTTTTTTGTTTTTTTTTTAAATTACTATAGCTTTAAAAAGTTCTCACATCTTGTCCTGGGTCTTGTCGAGTCCGTAGGCCAGAGCGGCGGCAGTGGGCTCGTTGATGACTCTGAGGACGTTCAGGCCCGAGATCTGCCCGGCGTCTTTGGTCGCCTGAAAGAAGAGGGAGGAGTCAGGAGCCGCCCGAGCTAATCTAAGACAGTTGATCATGTGAGCCTTATATACTGCCGTGCATCCGATGTGTCAACTTCTGTCCGTGTTTCCAAACCAAGCTACGTTTTTTTAGACATTTTTTTATAGGTCCAACATCACCAGTTACAGAATAGTAGGAATGAGGGGCACACGGCACATGATAAATGAACAATAACTCTGTACTAAAATAAAATCTCTAACTTTAGCATAATGTGGAAGATCAACCACACAGAGACGGGATCGTTGGGCACCTGAGCTTTAGGTATTCTTCAGCCAGAACAAAGTCAGGACATGGTTTATATAGTCATTCGTTACGTCCCACCTGCGTAGGCTGTATCTATATATCCACCATAATAATACACACTTGTTTACAACTGGACAATGCTGAGTGTTAAAAGTTTTAAGAGATGAGTGCTGTATTGGGTCTAACTGTGTCTGGTGCAGTGGAGAAAAAAAAAAAAACACTGGAAATTTGGGATGAGGAATAATCTGAGGTGCTCTTGGATTTTGTTGAGTGATATTTCAGTTCTTGGGCTCTCCCCATTTTCTATCCAGACTGGGGCCTCTAATCTTATCTTGATGTTTTTACCCCGATACCAAGTTGAGCAAATCATGTATTCATATTCTCAGGTCAAAATATATTCAATGATTGTGCCAGAGAATCTAAAAGCAAAAGCGGAACTGGAGCTTATGGCCGCTCTGTCTCCAGGTTAACACTCACCTGTCTCTGGGAGTCGTTGAAGTAGGCGGGGACCGTGACCACAGCGTTCTTCACTGTGGTCCCCAAGTAATTCTCTGTGAAACAACCAGACAGTAGTCAGTTAGAAAGTCACAGGTCAAAACTTCAGTTAAAAGATCCTTCTATACACACACACAGACACAGACACACAGATATACACAAGACACACACACACACGCCGTCTCTCACCTGCCGTCTCCTTCATCTTCATCAGGACGAAGGCCCCCGCCTGACTGGGAGAGTACATCTTCCCATGAGCCTCCAACCAGGCGTCCCCATTAGACGCTCGCACGATTTTGTACGGCACGTTCTTCCTGTTTAATGAGATTTTAAATTGGTTATTTCAATTACAGCTCAGTGAAATTAAACATGTTTAAATGTTTTTAAAGAGTTGTTGTGCATCAGGCTGAGTGTGGAGCTAAAGGAAAATAAATCACACTAAAAAGACTTAAAACGTTTTCAAAAAGTCCTTTCCCTTTTTGTCTTGACTCATAAGAACATAATTTCAGAGTCATTTATTTCACTAATGTGTGTCCAAAAATCTGTGAGAATTAACAGGTATTGAACAATATTATAAAATGAATGTCAATGTTGAAGAATGTGGAATAACTACTTAAAATCAAATTAATTTCTGGGTCTGAGTTCAGTAATACTCACAGGTCCTTCTGCACCTCCGAGTCGTCGAACCTGCGCCCGATCAGCCTCTTGGTGGCATACAGCGTGTTCTGGGGGTTGGTGACGGCCTGGCGCTTGGCGGGCATACCCACCAGACGCTCGCCGTCAGTGGTGAAGGCCACGACCGAGGGCGTGGTGCGGGCACCCTCCGCGTTTTCCAGCACCTGCAGCAGCCACAGGTCAGAGCTTAAAATTATTGAATGTTCTATTCACAATCATTTAGTTAAATCTGTAGGAAAAACAGGAGATTTTGGCACCGTACCATAACCAGGTACATGGCCAGACCTAGACCAGACCCAGGTCCAAACCCAGGTCCAGAACTACACAAAGGTCCAAACCCAGCACCAAAATAATAAAAGAATAATCAATGAGTTATTGGTTGATTTGAGTGCGTTTAATAGTTTCATGCGATTTCCCAATTTAAAAGTATTCTTTTAAATCATTGTAAAAAGCCATAATTGCAAATCGAATGATGCTTCGAATAATCAGTTTGGTTTATTCTAAATCCTCCAGCTCTCATCTTGTGTTCTGACCTTGGCCTGTTTGCCTTCCATGACGGCCACACAGGAGTTGGTGGTTCCCAGGTCGATGCCGATGACCGCGCCCCGGATCGCCTCCGACCTGCAACACACAGAGCCAGAGTCAGGGAAACCAAGGTCCAAGCAGTCCCGCGTCTGCAGCCTCAGTGAATCGACAACTTTGCAAAGTTCTCCGAGACGACTTGTCCATGTTACAAATCAAATTTATTTTAAAGAATGGAACTGTGCTCCTCGGCTCAATTAATGTTGTGCTCCAAGAGTCTCTTTATAGTTGCTAATGTTTAATGTTTTGATCTCTTGTGAACAACCTATAATGAATACTTAAATACAGTGAATCAATTTAAATACTCACGCATAGTCTCTTCTGGTCAGGACTCTGGAGGCCTCTGGACTGAAGCCGCTCCAACAGGCCTGCAAGTAAGAAAGTAAGTGAGTAAACTTTATATATATATATATATATATATAGCGCAATTTTTACAGACCTAAGTCACCCAAAAAGCTTTACAATACCTGGCCTGGAACATAACATGGAGAACACACAGAACAAAAACCTTATACACCACTTTACATGTAATAAAATGGGCCATTCCTCAGACAACATCGACAGGCATCAAGGCTCATTTCACATTTCTTTGAGAAAAAAAACACTTAACAGCTTCTTTAAATATTTTTAACAACCCAGGTTTGTCTACAACTATCAAATAAAGACTCCTCCTCTCATTCATGACCGGTGGCCTCTTATCACCTGCTGATTCTCACATCTCTCTCACTCCTGTTTTGCAATGATGACTGTTCTTTTTCCTTGACAAGAGTGATTACTCTTATATTCAGTTAAAAATGCAAGAAACCATGAGACGGTTCTCCATTTTAAAGGCGAGGGGGGATTGTGTAAATTGTGCCAAACATTATGATCAGTTCGTTACAAATCATATTATTAAGTTTCCAACCAGCGCTCAAAAGTGACAGATGAATGCATTTTGTAACAAATCAATTACTTTCAGGCAGCTCAAAACAAGGCTCTGACCATCCACTACTTTTGTCAGCACAGTAATAAACCAGACAAGGCTTATTGGATGGTTTGTTATATATTTTAACTATTTGTTGCTATAAAGTTGCACCAACATGGGCCCACAAACAAACCAGGCAGTGAGACAAGGGGGAAAGCTTAGCAAAGATAAAAGGTCAAACTGTAACTAGATTAATCCATCGTTCTTCACTAACTAGACTGCATCCAGCTTAACCCTCCACATGTGCAACACTGCAGCACGAAGGAGGGGGCGGGGACAGCACTGAAGGTCATTGGGGACCACCACCTCATCCAAAACTAACAAAGCAAACACTACCCAAAAGACAGACATATCAAGACAAAAAGCACTCACAAGGTGCCCATGATCAGGAATTTGGTTTAGCTGGTGATGCGTAATGAACCAAACTATGCATTAGTCATAACACACGTGATAATACAGTAAAATGTATATACACAGGCAGACGTGGTTTCTATGGTTTTAGAATGTGTTTCTTAAGCGAATATTATCGACAAATTTAAATTGCAATTAATTGTGAAGATAACTAATTCGTTTATAAAACAATTCATACACAGGGAAACTCAAAAAACATTAAAATCATTGATAAGTACATTTATTAGAACAAGGACAATACTGGCAGAATACATGTGAACAAATACGTAACGCACTCAACTGTCACAACTGGACAGCTGGATTAGCTATAAAGTACGAGTCGAAGTATGACAACGTACTAAAGTCAGACTCAAAATGCACTCATCGGGCCTTAATAATAAATAACGTTTTTATAAATGTGTTCGAGAGATTCTAAACTTTTTTCGACAATCATGTAACCGGCCTTGAGTAAGAAGAGAGGTGACATGCTAACTGTGCTAACTAAGCTAACTATGCTAACCGGAGCAAGGCGCTAATCTGCGTCGCTAAAATAAAGACAATTTCACAGTTGTACAGAGAGCTATCCGTGATAACACATCAAAACAGCAGTGCTAACCTTCTTGACGAGAGAGGACACGCTTCGCACGGATGTGACCGTGTGCAGAGTCCTTGAAACATTCTTAGCTGCGCTCAACATGATGACAGCTCCGACAGATCACGAAGCTAGCGAAGAAAAAAGCCAAAAAACCTTCACGGAATCGAGCAGGACAAACAGAGACGAGTCCCGGGAGAGTTACGGTGAAGCTGGGGGTGAAGCCAGGGAGTGTGCGGTGGTTGTTGTCAGCGGGCAGGACAGCTCGTCTTCAGGCTGTGAGAGAACTACGCTTCTCGAATTATCCAACACATGTTACACCATGCGCGGCACAAGGACCCCGTGCAGAGGCGACCCAGGCGCTGCCTGAGTCAAACAACACACAAAAATGTAAATTGTACTATTAACATCGATGCTGTAATGACAATTGGATATTTAAAAAGAGTTAAATCACAGTTTTAATGTTATTAAACTAATGAACAAAAATATTTAGCGTATTATTTGTCTGTTTTTGAACGTGCGAAATGGGGGACACGTTTACGCGATGGGCATGTGAAGGTCATGATGTAACAGGAAAAGGGTGAATGAAATGTTTTTGGTTAACGTACATGTTGTTCGTTATGTGGCGTTTATAATAATGACGCAAATGAGAATAATAATAATAAACAATTATTTAAAATATGTTGTGAAAACCAGGTATTGTTGTCATGTTACGGCACACATGCGTATATTTATACATCTAATATTTACAGTCTGGTATCTTCACAGTTCCAGTGTTACGAATATTGTAATTTGGGTGTAATTTAACCTTAACACATTCGTCCAACCCTGTTTTCAGAACCTGCATATATGTTTTTTTTTTTTTTTTTGTTCACGTCTTGAAATAAACATCTTGACACATTATTATTATAGATCCATGACTGACTGAGTGGAGGAAACTATCCACGTCTGAGACACTGTTACCACTAGAGGGCAGCTGTGACCCTCTGGAACGAGCTTGCATCAACCATGATACAGCAGATCCTGGAGCTCTGCGTTGCATAATAAATATTAAAACTTTGTTTTTATAGCAAAAACAGTGCTTACACAGCGCTGCACAGCCAGCAACAACATTCAATATGAAACATCAAAACGAAATACAGGAGAGAGAAAAAGCAGACATCGGACACCCAACAAGAAAAACAAAACAGAAAATGTGGAAAATACAACATGTGAAGTTTAAAACAGACTGTCATAAGAAGGCCGTCAGATGTCGTTCTTTCATTATTATTATTACCACAGACTAAAGTGTTTCCTTCACAGCTCCTTTAGAGATATAGGCACCTCAGTCTATATCAGTCACTCAGGAGGAGCTCGGAGTAGAGTTGCTGCTCCTCCAGACTAGGTGGACCGGGCATCTGTTTTCAGGTGTCTCCTGGATGTTTCTCTGAGGAGGTGATTAACTGCTCTCTGCACTAAAACACATCGGAGCAAATAGAGTCCAGGTCGATAGAATAGTGTAGTGAATCTCTCTCCTCACAGTCCGGAAAGTTCTGGACCCCAATAATGAATGTTAGCATATACAGCAGGCATTGCTCTTTATTACACCAATGTACAATGTATAATTTGAATAAAGCAGTCGTTGTGTAATACTTACTATATAATATTTGCAGATTTGATTGAAATTCTAATTACAGGTTGTGTGGATAACCTTTGCCACCCACCTCAGTTCGTTCCAGGCCCCCCACGAAGGAAAACATTATATAACAGTCGTCCTTGTCGTGTCCCTGAACATTCTGAAATATTGATACTAAAGTGGAGAGTTATGAGAGAGACACAGCTGAAGAATCAAAGACCTCCAGAGGCTCATGAACTTGGAGCTAAATAAATGTCTCTTCGCTTCAGATTTATATTTCATTATCATTTGCCGAATTGACGATATTAATGTAAGTGATTGGACTAAACTAAAAGGAACAATTGTGGATTATGGAATTATGTAAAATAATGAGATTGTATGAATAAAATCACACATAATAAAAAATAAACACAATGTTTCATGCAAGAATTATACAAACAAATCACACGTTTTGCCATTTTTCACATCTGTAAGTGTAGCGCCCCCTGGTGTCAAGCATTTGTATGTACGTAGTTCACGGAGATGCGACCTGCGCACGTGAGTCCTGTGCCATCGTCTCTCTCCTCTCCTCTACTCTCTCTCTCCTTTCCTCTCTTCTCTCTCTCCTTTTCCTCCTCTCCTCTCTCTCCTCTACTCTCCTCTCCTCCCTCTACTCTCCTCACTTTCTTCTTCCCTCTCTTCTTTCCTCTCCTCCCTCTCTCCTCTCTCTTCTCTCAATCTCATCTCTTCTCTCCTCTCTATCTCCGCATGGATCTATTATAATAAGATCTCCTCTACTCTTCTCTCTTTCCTCTCTCTCCTCTCCTCTCTCCTTTCTCCCTATACTCTTCTCTCTCTCCTCCCATCTCTCCTCTCCTCTCTCCTCTCCTCTCTGTCATCTCTCCTCCCATCTCTCCTCTCCTCTCTCTCCTCTCTCCTCCCATCTCTCCTCTCCTCTCTCTCCTCTCTCCTCCCATCTCTCTCCTCCCATCTCTCCTCTCTCTCCTCTCTCCTCCCATCTCTCCTCTCCTCTCTCTCCTCTCTCCTCCCATCTCTCTCCTCCCATCTCTCCTCTCCTCTCTCCTCTCCTCTCTCTCCTCTCTCCTCCCCTCTCTCTCCTCCCATCTCTCCTCTCCTCTCTCCTCTCTCTCCTCTCCCCTCTCTCCAGTCTCTCTAACCTCACCATCACCGGGGAGTGGACACATGGACACGCCGGCCTTCGCGCTCCTCTCTGCGGCCATGGACTCTGACGCCTCCCGCGGGTGTGAGGTGCGTACGGTGCGTGAATCAGCACTTTTGTCCCTGCTGCATGTGTGAAAGCAGTGATGTATTCTGCAGGAATGTGGTAGAAACACAGATTGGGATTACAGCCTGCACGTGCATGGCCATAACTATCAAATATGGCGATTTCGTTGCATGTTACAGCCTGGAAAGGTTATTTAAAGTGCTTTACTGTGGCCTTTGTCATTGTCATTTTCAAGTCGTCAGCGAATTTGGACTCTTGAAGAAAGCACACACAGTCAGTAATGGAAGAAAGCCTTGGGAATGTGTTTGGATAGTGGATTAAAAGGATATCTATGGTCAGTGTCTAAGAATACTTCAGTTGTTCCCAAGTGGCAGGTCATACACACGGAAATAAATGGCAAAATTAAAGGTATATTGAAGGATTTTCCTAAACATTTTAGCAAAGAATCGCCCTTTGCACTTTTTGAACAAAACTCTCTGGTCTTATTTGACGAGCACGTATCACCAGAATGATTGACAATTGGGAGGACCAATAGTCTTGATGATCCACCCAGAAGTAAAAATCTCCCTATTTACCTATACACAAATTAATAGTTAAAAGAAAATACAAACTAATGCCTTGACATTGAATTTCTCGTAAATGTTTCTTATGACAAGTGAGTACTTTTCCAAATCCCATAAAATCACATTGTGTTTTTAAAAAGAAAAATCTATGGGATTTTTGTGATGTAAAAAGTTTGTTTGTTTGGTTTTTTGACTCTTTGTGAAACTGAGGTCCTGCCGTTTTGGCCTCTGATGACGTATGAGTTCTGCTTATAAGTGGTAACAGGTTGTGGCAGGTAGAAGGAAAAAAAAAATCCAAAAGTTTAGAATTTTTCTGGTTAAGTATAAAGAGGAGTACAGCCGGTGTCGGGCCGCTGCCTTAGAGATAGGTTGTCACACGGGAGGAGCTCGGAGTAGAGTCGTTGCTCCTCCATGCTAAGTGGAGCCTTGGATGTCTCCCCCATGACTGGAGTGGGGTTCCGGGTATCTGTTCCATCGGGAGGAGGCATAAAACTAGTCTCTCTATGGTCCTTACTTAGTCTCTCTATGGTCCTTACTTAGTCTCTCTATGGTCCTTACTTAGTCTCTCTATGGTCTCTCTATGGTCCTTACTTAGTCTCTCTATGGTCCTTACTTAGTCTCTTTATGGTCATTGCTGAGTCTCTCTATGGTACTTTATTAGTCTCTCTATGGTCTCGTTATGGTCCTTACTTAGTCTCTTTATGGTCATTGCTGAGTCTCTCTATGGTACTTTATTAGTCTCTCTATGGTCTCGTTATGGTCCTTACTTAGTCTATCTATGGTCCTTGCTCAGTCTCTTTATGGTCCTTACTTAGTCTCTCTATGGTCCTTACTTAGTCTCTTTATGGTCATTGCTGAGTCTCTCTATGGTCCTTTCTTAGTCTCTCTATGGTCTCTTTATGGTCCTTACTTAGTCTCTCTATGGCTCTTACTTAGTCTATATGGTTCTTTCTTAGTCTCTCTATGGTGTCCTTATAGTCCTTACTTAGTCTCTCTAGGGTCCTTACTTAGTCTCTCTATGGTCCTTACTTAGTCTCTCTATGGTCCTTGCTCAGTCTCTCTATGGTCCTTTCTTAGTCTCTCTATGGTCTCCTAATGGTCCTTACTTAGTCTCTTTGTGGTTCTTGCTCAGTCTCTATGGTCCTTGCTCAGTCTCTCTATGGTCCTTTCTTAGTCTCTCTGGTCTCCTCCACGGTGGCTGAGTGGATAGCACTCTTGCCTCTCAGCAAGATGGTCCTGGGTTCGAATCCCGGTCAGACCAGGACCTTTCTCAGTGGAGTTTGCATGTTCTCCCCATGTCTGCGTAGGTTTCCTCTACCACTAAAAATATGTACAATAGGTTTGGCATGCGCCTCGTGTACTGGCGACCCCGTTCCCATCTCTGTGTGGAGTGAGAGACAATTGTAAACTGCTTTGAGACTCAGATGTGCAGTGAAAAGGCGGTATATAAATAAAGATTACTTACTCCTAATGGTCCTTACTTAGTTTCTTTATGGTTCTTGCTCAGTCTCTCTATGGTCCTTGCTTAGTCTCTCTATGGTCCTTACTTAGTCTCTCTATGGTCCTTGCTCAGTCTTTCTATAGTCTCTCTATGGTCCCTATTCTCTCTATGGTCCTTCCTTAGTCTCACTATGGTCCTAACTCAGTTTCTTCCTGTTGAGACCAGCCACATGTATAATTAATGAAACCCAATCTTTAAGTA